ATATTTGGACTTAGAAGGTGGCTCAGTAGTAGAGTGCTTGCCTTGCATCCAGAGGCCCTGGGTTTGATTCCTCAGCACCACATAAGCAGAAAAAGCCGGAAGTGGCGCTGTGGCTCAAGTGGTAGAGCACTAGCCTTGAGTTGAAGAGCTGAGGGACAGCGCCCAGGCCCAGAGTTCAGGCCCCATGACCGACCCAAAAAAAAAAAAAAAGCTGAGATTTGGAGAGATTTACAAACTCATCCAAATTTCATTGAATAGTTTCATGTTAAGCTTCAATTAAAACATAGTTCTGTTAAACTGTAAAATCTTCTAGGAAAATGAAGAGCAGTAGCATGTGCTGAAAGTTGTTTTTCTAGTTTAGGTAGTTTCCAGGTTGATTGCTTTATATACCTCCTACATTTATAATTGCACATATATGTACACACAAATATGTATATGCGTGCACACTATTTTATCCAACTATCATCCTAATAAAGTGGCAATTATTGTCTTCATTTTGTAGTTCTAGAAAATCAAAGCCAAAAGAAAATGAAATTTGCTCATGATCATACAGCTAGACAAGGATGCAAATCTAGACATTCAAACTTTAAGTCATGCAGACTAGACCAGGCTTACCAACAGAAACTTGTGCTTTTTTTTGTTGTTGTTTTTGTTTTTTTTGGGGTCCGGTCGTGGGGCCTGAACTCTGGGCCTGGGCACTGTCCCTCAGCTCAAGGCTAGCACTCTACCACTTGAGCCACAGTGTCACTTCCAGCTTTTTTCTTTTTGCTTATGTGGTGCTGAGGAATCGAACCCAGGGCCTCAGGCATGCAAGGCAAGCGCTCTACCACTGAGCCACCTTCCCAGCCCCTTGTGCTTTATTTTTTGATGTGTTTGTTTGTTCATTGAAAAATGAAGGCAGTAAAACAAAGGTTGGCAAAAATGGATTTTGTCAGTCACGGGGCTTGGACTCTGGGCCTGGCACTGTCCCGGAGCTCTTCAGCTCAAGGAGAGTGCTCTACCACTTAAGCCACAGCCTCACTTCTTGGGGGGAGGAAGGGCGGGGGTTATCTCTCAGCTCTTCGGCTCAAGGTTAGCACTCTACCACTTGAGCCATAGTGCCAGTTCCGATTTTCTGGTGGTCCCTTAGAGATAAGAGTCTCACAGACTTTCCTGCACAGGTAGCTTTGAACTGTGATCCTCAGATCTTGGCCTCCTTAGCCTTAGTAGCTAGGATTACAGGCATGAGCTGCCAGTGCCCGGCTAAGAAGAAACTCTTACAGTGAATAAATGTATGCTTTTATATAGTCTTTTACTTGTTCTTTTTTTACATGAGTTATTAGAAATAATTATAGTTAGAGCCAGACATGTGAAGCCCATCTATAATCTCTGAACTTGGGAGAGTCAGGCAGGAGATAAAAAGTTCTGAAGCTAACCTGTCTACATAGTTAGTTTGAAGTCAACCTAATTTACATGGGAAGACTGTCAAAACAAAATAAAACAAAATGATAATTAGACCTAATAAGCTAGTCCCAGCTAGCAAACCTTAGACTATCATCTTTTGATAAGCTGACTACAAATCTGTTGTGATTCTTAGTTTACATAATCTTTAGTTAAGATAGTTGAATTAAGAGGCAGAAAGTATATGTATATAGCTCAGTAATAAAGCCCTTGGGTCTAGTATTCACAAGACTCTTGGTTTGTTCAGCACTGCCAGAATAATTGCTGAATTGAAAGTAAGAAAAGTTACATAAATATCTTATAAAATGATTTATTGTGGGTTTTTTTTTGTTTTACCTTGGATTTGAAGTTTTGCACTTCTTAATATTCCCCCCAAACTCACAGTCTAATTTAATTCAGATTATCACTGAGTCAGAAAAAAATAAAAAATTGAACTACTTGATCATGAAAATATCTTTAAGCTTGGAGCTATTATTAAATATAGAGAAAATGAAAAGCATTTACTAAAATGATTTTCTGTATGACTTTTTGATGTTTTGATTCTTTGTTTCCATTGATGACTTTTTTCTTAGATAACAACACTGAAGTATAATTTGCATACTATACAATTCACCTATTTAAATTGTACAGTTCAGGGCATGCTTAGAGTATTTGGCTAGTATATATCATACCCTGAGTTTGGTCCTCAGCACAGATATAAAGAACTAACTAAACATTATTCAATTAATGTTAGTATACTCACATTTATTTATTGTTACCACAGTCAATTTTAGAATATTTTTATCACCACTAAAAGGAGCAACATATTGGCAGCACCTCCTCATACCTTCAACTAATCTTTTGTTATGTACTCTGTTTTTTTGTTTTTGTTTTTGTTTTGGTCATGGGGCCTGAACTCTGGGCCTGGGCACCATCTCTCAGCTTTTCAGCTCAAGGATAGTGCTCTACCACTTGAGCCACAGCACCACTACCAGATTTTTCTGCTTATGTGGTACTGAGGAATCCAACCCAGGGCCTCATGGATGCAAGGCAAGCACTCTACCACTGGGCCACCTTCCCAGCCCCTACTCTGTATTTCTTTTCTGGATACTTCCTATAAATGGGAATCATATTATGACATTTTATGGCTATCTTTGTGCTTTATTGGCATTTCTTTGATAGCTAAAGATGTTGAGCATTTTTCCACATATGCTTATTAGTTATTAGCATATTATTTTCGGAGAAATCCCATAACATTTGTTTGTATTTCAATTAGATTAAATTTGCTTTATTTTAAGAATAAAAGTTTATTATATAGCTGTATAAAAGCATTTCATGAAATACATTATTTGTAAATGTTTTTCCCTTTCTGTAAGTTGTCTTATTTTCTTTTTCTTTTTTTTTTTCCTTTTTTTTGTGGGAGTGGTTCAGTCATGGGGCCTGAACTCTGGGCCTGGGTGCTGTCCCTCAGGTCTTCACCTCAAGGCAAGTGCTCTACCACTTGAGCCACAGTGCCACTTCCGGCTTTTTTTGTCTTCTTATGTGGTGCTGAGGGATCGAACCCAGGGCCTCATGCATACAAGGCAAGCACTCTACCATTGAGCCACCTTTCCAGCCCTCTTTATTTTCTTGATGATGTGCTTTGTAACATAAATGTAATTATAACAACTTCCTTATTATTTACCTTTTTTTCTGTGCTGGGATTCCAACCCAGAGCCTCTTACATGTTAGATAGGTAGTCTCCTACTGAGCCACATCCCTAGTTCTCAGTTGTCTTTTTAGGAAAGTCTGGAAAAGCTATATTAAAAATACTATTGTTACAGTAAGAACTCAGCTTGAGCCAGGCGCTGGTGGCTCACACCTGTAATCCTAGCTACTCAGGAGGCTGAAATCTGAGGATCACGGTTCAAAGCCAGCCTAGGCAAGAAAGTGTGAGACTCTTGCCTCCAGTAAACCACTAGAAAATTGGAAGTGGCACTGTGGCTGAAGTAGTAGAGTGCTAGCTTTGAGCTGAAGAGCTCAGGGACAGTGCCTCAAGCCCCACGACCAACAAAAAAAAAAAAAAAAGGAACTCAGCATTGTAATGAGGTACTTTTTGACAAGAAAAGTATACTTTAGGCATGACAGTCATTGAATTTTGGTGCATGTTGTATTAAAGTGACTTTTTTGTGGCCAATACAAAGGCTTGAACTCAGGGGCAAGTAGCTAGGATTACAAGCCTAAGCCACTGGTGCTCAGCTATGGCAATGTTTTAAAGTAAAAATTGGAGCTAGGTATATAACTCAGTGATATAGCTTTTGTCTAGCATGTATGTAATCTTTTTTTCTTTTTTTTTTCTTTTTGGCCAGTCCTAGGGCTTGAACTCAGGGTCTGGGCACTGTCCCTAAGCTGCTTTTGCTCAAGGCTAGCACTCTACCACTTTAGCCATAGTGCCACTTACAACTTTTTCTGAATATATGGTACTGAGGAATCAAACCCAGGGCTTCATGTGCGCTAGGTAAGCACTCTACCACTAAGCCACATTCCCATCCCTGATGTATGTAGTCTTGGATTCAATTAGCAACACTACAAAAAGTTTTTTAAAAATCCTAAGGTAAAAACACATATAATATGAAAAGTTATAGAGTACACTTAATGTATTTTAAACATTTAATTATTTTTATTTTCTATGCCTAATTCCATAGCATTGTTTCCTACAGAAAACTAATATGAAACTGGGTGCCAGTGGCTCTTACCAATAATTCTAGCTACTCACGAGGCTGAGATTTGAGGATAGAGGTTCAAAGTCTGTCTGAACAAATTCTCAAGACTCTTATCTACAGTTAGCCAGAAAAATGCTGGAAATAATCAAGTAACTCCCGTGACTCAAGTGGTAGAATGCTGGCCATTAGCAAAAAGTCAAGCAAGAGTACAAGGCTCTAAGCTTAAACCCTTAGTTCCTACAGGGGGGAAAAAAAAGGAAACCCCTAATCTTTGGCCTTAGATATAGCAGTCAACATTCCTGATAGCTTTGTTAATATAGTCTATATTTTCTCTAATAACACTGAAAGAACTATGAAAGACAAAATACTTAAAAGATAATCAAGCATTGGTGGCTCATGCCTATAATCCAAACTACTCAGGAGCCTGAGATCTGAGGATTTCCAGTTTGCGCAGGAAAGTTCCTGAGACTCTTATCTCTAACAAACTACCCAAAAAAAAAGCTGAAGTGGAGCTGTGGCTCAGGTGAAGTGCTAGCTTTCAGGGAGAACACCCAGGCCCTAAGTTCAAGTCCTAGAACTGGCACACAAAAAAATGTTTAAAAGATGGAACTGATGAAAAGATATATTTTGAATTGATATTTGAGAGTTCTAGTGCCTGAAATCCTTACTCTAATGTGAATAAATTTCCTCCATTTGTAACTAAAAGCATTTAGGTTGTGCTAGAATTTTTATACAAATTACTCATTCAAATTTTGGTTATAAAAAGAAAAAGTATAAACATACAAATATTTATATTGCTATGTTATTCCTGTAGTTTTATTCTATCTCAGCTGCAAAGTAAAATATAATGTATTGATAGGTTTTATTTTGCCATACTAGCTCCTCAAGAGTTACTGATCCATGAAATGGCAGAGAATGGAAAAAATTGTGACCAGAGACGTGTAGCAATGAACAAGGAACAGCATAATGGAAATTTTACAGGTAAAGTCTAGATGGCAGCAATAACAAAATCTTTTTCTTTCAGGATTGGGATTTGAACTCAGAGCCTCTTTGCTAGCCAGGCAGTCTACCTCTAAGCCATTTCCCTACCTTGTCCTCATTGTGCTCTGGTTATTTTAAGATAGGGTTTTATTTCCTGCCTAGGCACATCCCTAGACCATCATCTAGAGGATGACAGGATCTCATGAGCTTTTCTTCCTACGGTGTCATCAAACCTCAATTTTCCTGATCACAAGTGTCTAGGATTATCAGCATGAGCCATCAGAGTTAGCCAATAGTAACAAATCATAGGTAGGGTCTTACTAAATGTCGAACTCTTCTGAGAATTTTACATATATTAACTTACTTAATCCTTATACTAACCCTGAAAACTAGGTACTTGTTATCTTCCACTTTACAGAAGAGAAAACTGAAGCACAGCAATGTTAACTAACTTGCCCAAGATCACATAAATGGTACCTGGCTGCCAGGCCCTGGTGGTTCATGCCTGTAATTCTAGCTACTCAGGAGGCTGAGATCTAAGGATCAGGCCCAGGTCCTGAATTCAAGCTGCAGGACTGGCACCAAAAAAGGTACCTGGCAGAGCCTGGATTTGGAACTAAGTTGTGTGCCTTCACATTTTGAGATCTAAACTATGGTATGATCTGTAGTATGATGTTAAATTCAAATAATACCTTTTATAGAAAGAAGGTGGCCCAATTTAGACCTGCAGTAACATAAAAGAGTAGAACCTGTGTTCTGACAGTAAAATAATCACAAGAATAATGTTAAGATTGGGCAGAAGCACTTAGTCCACACTTGTTCTTTCCTAAATATCTGTTGTTCAGCTGCTGAAATTTTTGGTATTATTAATTTTGGACACTTTCTCCCCAAAGGTTTTTTTTTTTAATCTGTCAGAAGGAGGAACTGGCAAAGGAAAGCCTGGTGGGTTTTTGTTTTGTTTTGGGAGAGTGGCAGGGGTCATTAAACTTTGTAGCCTCAGTTGTTCTCTTAACACTGATTTAAAAGTGATAGCTATAGTTTGGGGGTGAAATTCAGTGGTAGAATACGTGTATAGCATACATGTGGACCCAGATTCAATCCCTAGCATCAAAATAAGAGTAGTAATTATGATTATGCATTTCCTTTCTGAACTAGTAGGTATTGATGCGTCTGGACTAGTTGCTGTTTCAAGATTAAAGGACTTACTTTAATGGTTACCCAGGATATGGGTACACCTCTCTTTAAGCACTCATACATTGTACCACCCCTCTCCAAGACATGAGAAAAGAATTCATTCAATAGCAGTCAGATTTCTACTAACAGGGTAGAGACAGACAAATGTAAAGGCAAATACCAAGGAGGCTTAAGTTACAAGAATCGATCACAAATCTTGGCTTTATGTTGTAGAGTTTAGATACGCTTACACTGGACGACTTTTGTTCATTAGTATTGTGTTCCAAAGGTTGCCTCCTCTACAGAAGGGGTGATCTCAGCTTAGTTGTTGTTTATTTGTTTGTTTTTATTCAGGTTTTTTTTTTTTTGTTTTTGGTATTGGTAGTAGGACTGGAACTCAAGGTCTGGATCCTCTCCCTTGCTTTTTCTGCTCTAGGCTGGCACTGTATCACTTGAGCTACAGCTTCACTTCTAGCTTTTCAGTGGTTAGTTGGAGATAAGGAGTCTCAGGGACTTTCCTACTGACTTCAAACTGTAATCCTCAAATCTCAGCCAGAAATTCTGAGTAGCTAGTATTACAGGTGTGTGCCACCAGTGCCAGTTTACCTTAGTTCTTGCTGTTTAAACTTTCATGACCTACATGTGAATCATGTTTCTGCTTTTGAGGTTTTATATGTAGTCTTTCAAGTATAGGATAGGAAGATGGATGAATTCATAATTAGTTTGAAAAAGAGTGCTAAGATTTCCATTTCAACATTTCTGCTAATATTTTTCAGATCCCTCATCAGTGAATGAAAAGAAGAGGAGGGATCGAGAAGAAAGACAAAATATTGTCCTATGGAGACAGCCACTCATTACCTTGCAGTATTTTTCTTTGGAAACTCTTGTAATCTTGAAGGAATGGACCTCAAAGTAAAGAATCTTTTTTTCTTTTTTTATATAAACCTATTGTCTAATTTAAGAAGTCCTCATCATATCCTGCTCCCTGCCAACTGCTTCCTCAAAGTAGATTAAGTTTAGAATATTATCATAAGAACATATTTATTTTCTTTCCTATATTTTGAGAAAAAAACAGAGTAGGGAATTTTGTTCAAAGAAAAATAGATGAGGCTATATGTTGGAATTTGCTTAGTGGACTTTTATAGTTTTCTACTGTCTAATGTTGGATCTTTCAAGGGAAAATGTGATAGTAATTTTCCTCCTGATTTTGCCCTCAACAGAAGTCAGGCTTGTACACATTAGATACACTGAGTCTATCGCAGGACAAGGTTCAGGATACGTGGCAGTTTGCTGATAGATTGAACCAACGAAGAAGGACTCTACCATGATAATGTCTTCTGTCTTTAAACTTAGTACTTATAAACCCTGTTTCAGATATCATAAGCAAGTTGAACTTTACACATCCTATAATTTTCTTGCTTGCCTTCCAAGTTATCTGTACTATTACCACACAAAGTTATCTATATTATTATCATATACTTTTATTGTACTTAAGTTTTATAAACTATTTTAAAACATGTTCAGCTCATTTAGGAACAACATGAAGAACCAAAATAAGTATAGGTTAGGTTAATAGAATAAGTTAAGTGTCTTGAACTTGCTAAAAGCACTAAAGATTTCTGGCTCAGTGCCCCTGACTGAATGTCAGTGCTGTTTCATTTACAATTTAAAATGTAGACAAGATTAGACTTGGAAAAGGCTATAATGGAGTTTATGATAGAATAGGTTCTACGCTCAGAAGTCTTTGAATCCTTCCTTTATCCCCAAGTCTGCTTTAATAATTATGTTGAGAATGCTGGTTGGTTCCTCAAAGTGAGATAAATGTGAGATTTTATTTTTATTCTTTAATTTGTTTTTTAAGATTATGGCATCGTCAAAGCCTTGTGGTGTCTTTTTTACTGCTGCTTGCTGTGCTCATAGCTACGTATTATGTTGAAGGAGCACATCAACAGGTAAGAGATTTAGCAAGTTTTTTTCTAGTCTTACACATTCTGTTGACCCCAGAAAGTTTCAGAATGGAATAAATGCATTATAGATTTTTCTACACTCAACATTTTAAGAATTAGGTTTGTATTTTTAATTTCTCATAACTGATATCTTAATTTTTTTTCACTGTACTTGAACTCAGGGCCTTGTGCTTGTTAGGCAAGCATTCTCCTATTAAGCCATGCTTTATGTGTTTTTCTTTTGTTGTTGTTGTTATTTTCTTTTTTTACCAGTCATGACCTGGGGCACTGCCCCTGAGCTTTTTTGCTCAAAGTTAGTGCTCTGCCACTTGAGCTACAGCTTCACTTCTGGCTTTTTGTTGGCTAATTGGTGGTAAGAGTCTCACAGACCTGTCCTTCCTGGGCTGACTTTGAACCAAGAGCCTCAGATCTCAGCCTCCTGAGTAACTAGGATTATAGGAGTGAGCCAGGGTCCCAGGGTTAATGCCTTTTAAAACCATTCAGTCAAAGCAGCATAAATCCTTTCATCTCTGCCAAAGTCTTGGTTATCTGCCTTTTGCTTTGATCTACCTGCTTTAGGTTTCCCAGCATTGCTGGGGTCACAGGTTCAAACTAATGTGTCCAGCTTCACTCCATGGAACAGTCACAGTTTTTCTACCTAATCTGGCCTGATCTCAGCCTCCCACCCAGTTTAGGAATGATAGGTGCACACGGCTGTGCCCAGCTATCAAAGGGGAATGGGTTTCACTAACTTTTCTGCCCCATCTGACCTCAAACCACAATCCTTTCATTCTTAGCCTTTCAAATAGCTAGAGTAAGCTACTTTAACACCCAAGTTACACTGTATCTTGTATGATATATTCAAATAGATGGGACTTGTCCTGAGTTGAGGGTTAGGTTTTATTTGTATGAAATATTAAGTTCTCTTGCTTGAAGTCTATAAATGTATTCGTAATGGAAAAATAGAAAATTTTGTTACTACCTTACATTAAATAAACAAACATTATTAATCTGCTATAAGAATAAATGCTTCTAAAGTGGTAATTGTTTTATATTTGAAGCAATTTACTTTTGGGGTTTTACAGTTTTTATAGTTTTATATGCATTTCAAGTATAACACATCTACATTGATGTCACCCCTTCTATCATTCTTCCACATCTTTCCCAATCCCACCCCTTCCTTTTAAATAATTTTATGCATTTACTAAGAATTTGTGATGAAATAGCTTTCTGAGTTTCCTTACCCAAACTGGAAAACTTCTCTAGAAATAAGTCTATATTTCTTCAACAAGTTTCTCGCTAGACTTCATTTTGCTCTTTTGAAAAACATACTTGTCTTAAATATACAAATTTTATTATAATTTTTTTTACTGAAAAAATGTATTAGATTCACAAATACTATATAATCACCCCTTTCCTACTACTATATATTTTGTTACATAAAATTTTGTAAGTTGTAGATAGCTCCAAATTTTTAATTCTTTTTTTTTTTTTTTTGTCAATCATGGGGCTTGAAGTCAATGCCTGGGCACTGTCCCTGGACCTTTATGCTCAAGGTTAATGCTCTACCACATTGAGCCACAGTTCTACTTCCAGTTTGGTTTGGTTTGGTTTGGTGGTTTATTTGGACTTTCCTGCCTGAACCAAAATCCTCAGATCTCCTCATCCTGAGTAGCTAGAATTACAGGTGTGAGCCACTGCTTTTCAGTCTTATAATACCTTAACCTTACTTTGCTGTTTTGCTATGTTAGCTTTATTTCAGGTATATATAATTTCCCCTCATCTTGCTGTCTTATACTAAACTATTAGGCTTCTTTGTAAAGATTTTATTCTTAAACTTATTTTAACGGTTTGTTTAATTTTGTCAATAGTATGTACATATCACATGGCTGTGTAAACATCTGTTTTTTATCTCATCCCTTTTGTTTTTCAGTATGTGCAACGTATAGAGAAACAGTTCCTTTTGTATGCCTATTGGATAGGCTTGGGGATTTTGTCCTCTGTTGGGCTTGGAACAGGGCTGCATACCTTTCTGCTTTATCTGGTAAGAACTTCCTTTAATGAACAAAAATGAGATTTTTCTTCTTATTGAGGCTTTTACTTCAGAAGTTAAAATCTTAGGATTTGTGTTTTGCAAGCATCCAGATCCTCAAATCATTACTTTAAAAAATATATATATACATATATATATATTTTTTTAATTGTTACTGTAAAGGTGGTGTACCAAGGGGTTACAGTTACATAAGTCAGGTAATGAGTGCATTTCTTTTTGGACAGTGTCACCCCTTCCCTTCCTCTCTTCCAGTTTCTTATCATTACTTTTAAGTTTGGTTTGGAATTTGTGTGGCTTTCTTGAGGATTTAAAAGGAGACAAGAAAAATAACCAGTTAAACAAATAATGTTATAAATTTAAATTAGTCAGGAACTTTTTCTGCCCTCCAGATTTTGAGTAATGATTCTGTTGCTTATACAATTATTATTTTAGTAGTTGAAATTAATGTTAAGTATACAAAATTACATGTAAAGTTTATAATCTGTACACTTGTTCATCTATTGTTCATCAAAAGAGATTTGGGTCCAGAGATGCCACATATGCACTTGGATGGGTATTTTGGTATTCTTTTATTTTGTTTTTTGTTTCACTACTGGGAATTGAACTCAGAGTCTTACATATGACAGCCTTGTGCTCTACCATTGAATGACACATTTCTAGCTGATTGTTTCATAGTTCATTGCTAATTGGACCTAGAGGTTAGTCGATTTGTTCTGCTAATTTTATAATTTTATAGTTGGTTTGTTGGATTCATTTGTTCATTCATTCATTTATCTATTTTTGTTTTTGTGGTTCTGGAGTTTGAACTCAAGCTTCACATTTGTAAATTCTGGTAATTTTAATGTTTAGTAAATGGGCTTCAGAATATCTGTAAATCTCAAAACACTAAACTTGACTAATATGTCTGTAAGTACAATAATTTTTTTCTGGCAAACAATTAAAAAGGAATTGATAGCATTTGTCACATTCTGTAAAGTACTTTAATCAATTATTTTTAAAACGGCTCTTCTGAAACTGTTTTGAACTGTGCCTATATTTGGCCACCACTAGGTGGCATTGCTAGTACAAACAATACATCATACTATATTTGCAGGTTTTGTTTTGGATAAATATATATTTAGAGCAACTTCAGTGAAAAACAGAATGGCTCTACTTAGCTTATAGACATTCTATTATTTTCATATTTATGCCTATTAATTTTGTCAATATAAGATCAATTAGTACATGTGAGTGAAAATACTTTTCTTAATAGTTTTCCACATGTATTCATTAGTTCAGCAGTTACCACCCTTTTACCATTGTGACCTACATATTTACATGTAGGATATAACTCCCATAGCATGCCCAGTGTCAGGTTCAGTGGTAAGAATAGTTCCATCTTTTCATTAATATTCGAGAATATGCTGGGCTGGGAATGTAGCTCCACGGTAGAGAACTTGCCTAGCATGTACAAAGCCCAGAATTTGATTCCTAGCACTGGAAAAACAAATAAAAAATATGCAAGCATTGCATTAGTGGCTCACATTACTACTAACCAGTAGTCCTAGCTACTCAGTAAGCTAAGATGGAGAGGATCAAAGGAAGCCTGGGCACAAAAGACTGAGAAACTCCAACTCCAGAGTGACAAGTAAAAAGTCAGGCTGAGCCAGGCAGGCGCTGGTGGCTCACGCCTGTAATCCTAACTACTCAGGAGGCTGAGATCTGAAGATTGCCTTCAAAGCCAGCTCAGGCAGTAAAGTCCATGAGACTCTTATCTCCAATTAACCACCAGAATACTGGAAGTGGTGCTGTGACGGAGGTGGTAGAGCACTAGCCTTGAGCTGAAGAAGTCAGGGACAGTGCCTGGCTTCAAGCCCCACAACCGCCAAAAACAAGGTCAGGCTGGAAGCATGACTCAAGTACTAGAGTGCTAGCCAGGCAAGCTAGCTCAGCAAGCAAAATGCCCTGAGTTCAAACCTTGGTACTGGGGAGGGGAAATGTATATACACACATATGTATACATATATATATACAGATTCCTATCATGAGAGGATGTAGAGAATATTTAGATTATTCAGAATATTCATAAAATTGCTGGGTTGGAATGTATTCCAATATTAATAGCTGTATAATATTTGGCAAATATCTTAACATTTAAACCCAGTTTATTAACAATAAATAGAAGTGATAATAATAGCACCTATCTCCAGAGGCTAGTTACAGGAATAAATGAAATAGTGCATTTTTATTACTCAGCATAGTGCCTAGTACATATAAGATTGACAATATGTGGTTGTATCATTACTCTTACAATAATTTTTTAAGCAAGCAATAATTTGCAACTTCTGTGCTTTAGCTCTTACTCTAAAAATGACCATTTCTTTTTTTTTTTTTTTTGGGGGGGGGGGGGGTCTGGTCGTGGGGCCTGAATTCTGGGCCTAGGCACTGTCCCTCAGCTCTTCAGCTCAAGGGTAGTGCTCTACCACTTGAGCCATAGCACCACTTCCAGCTTTTTTTCTTTTTGCTTATGTGGTGCTGGGGAATGGAACACAGGGCCTCAGGCATGCAAGGCAAGCGCTCTACCACTGAGCCATCTTCCCAGCCCCAAAATGACCATTTATTGTACTTAATTTTAATATAGCCTATGTCATAGCATAATTTATTTTTATTTTATTTTTGTCCATTGTGGGACTTGAATTCAGGGCCTGAACTTTGTCCCTGAGCCTCTTTATATTCAACAGTAGCGTTCTACCACTAGAGCCATAGTGTCATTTCCAGTTTTTGAGTAGTTAATTAGAGATAAGAGTCTCATGGGGACTTTTCTGCTGGGGCTGGCTTTGCACCATGATCCTGAGATCTTACCTGCCTGAGTAGCTAGGATTACAGGCTTGAGCCATCAGTGCCTGGCAATCATAGCATAATTTAAAATGCTGAACATGGCTTTAAAAAATAAAGGTAGGAAATAAGTTACATTTTTAGTTTTTGAAAATTTGTGCATGTGTTCTTAATGATAACTATAATTGCTGCAAATTTCCTCATTTAACTTTAAATTCTGTTAATGTATCATTCATTCATGTGGAGGGGTAGAACCGAACTAAAGTGTGTGCATTAGCAGTGTTCAGCAGTAGTGTTCATCTTCTGCTTGCCAGTTCAGAAATTCAGTTCATTTTCATATAGAATATATGAATGAAAAAATTAGCTGGGCACCGATTACTTAAGTCTGTAGTCCTAGCTACTTAGTTTGCTGAGATCTGAGAATGGTGGTTTGAGGCCAGCACAAGCAAGAACGCCTGTGAGACTCTTTATCTCCAACTCCTAAGGAAAAAAAAAAGCTGAAAGTGAAACTGTGGCTCAAGTTGTACACTGCTAGTCTTGAGCAAACAAAAAGCTCAAATACAGTAGCCAGGCCCTGAGTTCAAGCCCTAGGATCAACACCAAAAAAAAAACAACAACAAACAAAAAATCATTCTGAATTAGCCTCTTCAGATACTCTTACTTTGTGCTACAGTGTAGTAAGATACCCTTACATTGTGCTTTGTGTAAATGTTACGAACTGAATCTACACAAAAAATATGTTTACAGGATAATGCCTCAGACTAATCATATGTCCATTTGTTACTGTTACTATGTTTGTTAACAACCCTTTATCTCTAGTGCTATAAACTCTACTTAAAGCTAATTAAAATATCATTCTTGTAATAAAATAATAATTGTGCTTCACCAAATAATGTATCCCTAAAACAGACTGTTAGCATTTGGGTTTGCTTAATTTAGACAAACAGGTTCCATGATTTAAGATGTGATTTTTTTTTTTTATCACTTTATTCAGTATCAATGTGCTTATCATTTGATTTGCCCATATTGTAGTTTAATAAACAACAATTAGGGAGTAAATCGCATGTGCAAACTATAATTCTTCTGTTTTTGTTGTTGTTGTTGTTGTTTTGTGTGTGTATGTCCGTGTTGGTTATGGGGCTTGAATTCTGGGCCTTGGTGCCGTCCCTGAGCTCTTCAGCTCAAGGCGAGCACCCTTGCATCACTTCCATGTTTTTCTTTCTTATGGAGGCATGTTATCACTGTGTGAGCAAGTTTTGCCTGGCAAATAATATAAGCTACTAAGATTTCATTCTAAGCTACCACTCTTCTCTTCCATGTCAGCCCCTGAAATCTGGGCCAGATTTATGCTAAGCTAGCACTCATTAGATCCTATATTTATTTACCATTAACAGCATGTTAGTACTTATAATTCTGTAACAACTAGGCTAAAACAAATTTTGCTACTTAACAAGAAATGTATCTCAAGTATACCCCTTTATGTGCACATATATTATGATTCAAATCATAGCTCTTATGATAAGATTAAAGAACAATTTCTTTTTTTCTTTTCCCCCAGTCTTGGCTCAGAGCCCAGGCACTATCTCTGAACTTTTTGTTCAAGGATTTTTTTCTGTGTATGCTACACTAGAGCTTGAACTCAGTGTCCAGGCATTATTCCTTATCTTTTTTCCTCAGGGCAGCACTCTACCATTTGAGCCACAGCTCCACTTCCAGCTTTTTTTGTTTTTGTTTTTGGTGCTATTCCTGGGGCTTGAATTCAGGGCCTGGGTACTATCCCTGAGCTTCATTTTGCTCAAGGACAGTGCTCTACGACTTGAGCCATAGCATCACTTCCAGCTTTTTCTGTTTTTTTTTTGGGTCCGGTCGTGGGGACTGAACTCTGGGCCTGGGTGCTGTCCCTCAGCTCTTCAGCTCAAGGCTAGCGCTCTACCACTTGAGCCACAGCGCCACTTCCAGCTTTTTTCTTTTTGCTTATGTGGTGCTGAGGAATCGAACCCAGGGCCTCATACATGCAAGGCAAGCGCTCTGCCACTGAGCCACCTTCCCGGCCCACTAAAGAACAATTTCTAAGCTATGTGTTCCATTAATGGTTTATAAAGTCTTCTGTTTAATAATGAATTGATCCATTGGATAACAATTCAGTCCCATATAGTATGGTGTGTGCAGTTTTTGAC